AAAAAAAAGAAGAGTGGGAATAAAAGAATAAATCAAAAAAAATTTTTTTTTTAAAGGAGAGTGATGAAAAAAAAATTTTAAAGTGAGGTACGAAAAAAAAATTTTTTTTTTAAAAGGAGGGTGACGAAAAAAGAAGAAAAATTTAGAAAAAATAACAAAAATAAGACGAGAAAAAGAGAAGGAAGGGAAGACAGAAAGGAAGATCGGAAGATCAAACTCATCAAAGTAAGGGTTTATATAAAAAACAAAAACGTATCATAACAAACAATAAATAATCACGTGATCTCGTGTTATGATACGAGATTTTTGTAAAATTATTTTCTAAAAATATTAAGTTTAAAAATTTCGTATACATTCCGTATGATTATTTTTTTCCATATACACTTCATATACATTAGTTTTTTTAAAAATGTTCAAAAATGAATTGCTTATTAAATATACGGAATTTGTATACGGAATCTATAGAAACGTACATAAAATGTATACAAAACGTATCCTTTCCGTATACATATTTCTTATAGGGACATCTTTGTATCAAAAATATCAATAAGAATCTTACGATACTATAATGGTAATTAATCTTCACGTATTGAATTAATTAATTATTTATATATTAAAAGATGCCTTTGTGGTAAGTTAGTATTTCGCAAGTATAAATTAAGAGTTTATTTTTAGTCTAATTCAGAATTTCATAACTTATTTTATCATTTTACCCAAAAAAAAACTTTATATTATAGAATTATACATTTATTATTGTCGATACTTTAAAATAGAATGTGGTCTAACTCAATGCCGTGATTACTCAATACTATATAAAATTCAATTAAAACATTATAAATATTATTCCCTGGATTAATTCACATCGGTTATAGAAAATTTCATTGTAAAGTTTTGATTTATTTTCATTATATACTTACTGTATATTTTAATTATTAACCCTTTTTTAAAGAATATGGATAAGTTTTTTCGTCGTACTTAAATAATTTCATAAACTTCCATTCTTTGCATAAAATAAAATCGTATATCTATGTGTTTGGATCTTAAGTTATTTATTCCAAATTCGACGACATAAAAATTGAAAAAGGTTGATTACATTTTATTAATATTTTATTAACAAATTTTAACGTAAACTGAAATCTTAACCTATATCTCATTTATTAAATATCTTCCATCATGAAATCTGTAAGTTATTGTATACGTCCTATTACTTTATAACAATTACTTGTTGAATCGTTTCGTATGGTTGTTAAATGTAATAAAATAATAAATCATTGTAATTTGTAATCCCTCTAAGCAACAGGAATTTAATTAATTTTAACATTGAAAAAGTACTACTCTTAATGTTGGTATTATTCTTTATAGATTGTAATGGTTTAATAATTCTTTATAATATTAAATATTTTAATTCTTTAAGTTATTATTTTAATCAGTAACATCATTTTATTAGTAGTCATCGTTTTTAAATTGATGCAAATAAGATAAAATAATAAATTAAACCCACGTGAATTCGGCTTACAATATATTTGTATAATTCTAAAATTAGAATAGGGTTTCATTTTTTACAGGGAATATAATAGTATGTTACTGTAATATATTATTCCACTTCATATAAAATTTGCTAAATTTAATTCTTTCTAATTAATTTAAAAAAAAAAATTTTTTTTCTTTAAAAGTAAAATTAAACTAACATAACAATCTCTAAAAGTGAAAGATAAAAATAAGTTTTATCAAAAGAAGAGAAAAATTCTCAAAAAAATTTATATCATACCTTCAGACATACAGTATAAGGAAAGAAAATAGAAAGAATTTTTTCCTTAAAAAGCTACATCATTTTGAAATAGCAATTTAATTACGGCCGAAATTAGCATAATTTGACCAAGTTTAAATAATATGATAATTGAATTGTGTAACATATAAACGCGTGATGTGTCTGCGCCTAATCTATTCCTAATTCTTTTCGTGTGCCACTGGCAAATCCAGTTCTGATTAATGAATTTTGATTGTGAAAAAAGTTTAGTTGGGAGTAGCAACTACTTCCTTCACCAAGTCGTATAATCCTTTTAATCAAGGTTATTCAGTAACTAATTCACAGTATTCAGTACGAACTTCTTGTAATAGGGTCACACATATGACCTACGACATGATCGCATTTAAAGTGACTTACAATCTCACCCATTCGTTCCACTTTCAATTCCTTCATCATACCAAACAAGGGAAAACAAATATGTAACAAAGGAAAAAACCCCACTAAAATTTAAAAAGAGAAAAAAATGAAATATCAAATTTACATTTCCTAAATTATAACCTATCTAAAAAAATTTTTATTTTGGAAGTCCGCGAAGAAAATCACTTATCCCAGAATACTTGTCCCATACCTTCTTTCTAAGTGTGTAAAAGAAATAAAAAATGAGACACAACATTTCAACCGTGTACTAAGTAATCTACTTGTTCCATATCTATGGAAAAAAGTTAAGCCGAAGATGATAGCCCGATCAGATGTCCACAAAAGGAGTCTCCCATATCCGTTAACACCTTGATCTTTTTTTAGTAACACGTTTAGGGTAGATTCAGAACGTACCAAAAAGTCCAGATGTGTATCCTTTTTGGTAAAAGAACTTCGGGAAAGACTTCAAGATGAGAAAATAGAATGAGAAGGTGTATTCAAAGCTTCACAGAAAGAAGAGAAATTGTCTCTCTAAGTGCTTAATCAACTTTAGTCTTGAGATGTGAGGCAGTACTATTACTAAGATTTGTTTTTCCAGAACTGAGAGTAAGGACGGACCGTTGGGATACAGAAGGTTCGCCAAAAGAAAATCTGCAAAGTAAATACCATAAAAGGTTGAACTCTTTGCTCCGTTAGTTGACATATTTTAATCACGTTGTCCAGTAAGGCTGTTAATTCCGTCTTGCTTGCCCTATAAGAAATATGTATACGGAAAGGATACGTTTTGTATACATTTTATGTACGTTTCTATAGATTCCGTATACAAATTCTGTATATTTAATAAGCAATTCATTTTTGAACATTTTTTAAAAAAACTAATGTATACGGAAAAAATCAATCATACGGAATGTATACGGAATTTTTAAACTTAATATTTTTAGAAAATAATTTTACAAAAATCTCGTATCATAACACGAGATCACGTGATTGTTTATTGTTGTTATGATACGTTTTTTGTTTTTATATAAACCCTTACTTTTGGAAAAAAAAAAACTCTTTCCCCTTTTTTACGTTTTTGTTAATTTTCCGCAGTAATTTTGCGCAAGTTTTTTTTTCAGTTTCTATTTGAAACACTAAAGGGGAGAGGCCCAAACGGGCGCCTCTGTCTTATACGAGGTTTTTAGTTCCTTCTATACCCAATATTATTACAAAATATGTCTTCTACACCTTATATTGAAATAGACTGGTCTTCCGCTTCACAACATTCTTACCCTCAACTCGGTGACCCTACAACACCTAACAACGACTCAGACATAATATTACATGATACTGAGCGGCCAACAGTACTTTCTGCTAAGGATATTCTTTCCCTAGATATTGATGATATTTATCCTTATAAGTACTCAACTCATCATTTCGATGACAATGATTTGGAAGAAACCTATGACGAGGACGAAGAAGATTATTTTTAACAATTATTAAATACTTCATTAAACGCTGAAATAGAAGAAGTCACCTATGGAGGAAATGAAATACCTCCGACTCTCAACACTCCTTTGACTCCTATACAGGATATTATTCCTTTACCACCTCCGGATACTGCGCCTATTTCAGAAATTTCACTTAAAGATGAGAAAAAAACTACTCTCTCGGTCTCCCTGAAAAAATTTCACGTGACTACGCCAAAACGATCAGGTTATAACAAGATTTATGAAATCCGCCGATCTAGGAGTTTCTTTTTTGAGCTTGCTGATCGCAATCAAAACACCAATGACATTCATTTAACGATACACACCAATGATTATCATATGAATACTAAACCAATTAGTTATAATAACACAAGTTCATTTCCTAATGACAAATATCAAATCAGCTGCATGCTTACACATTTTTTTTCCTCGCAAAGAGATATTCCACGACGAATACAAGATAAATTTTTTAATTTTTTACACAACAAACTATTGGATAGAATTAAGATCATCAAATCACGTGCCATTAGCACAGCTAATAGAAATTATTCTACAAAGACTTTTTTTAATTTCACTTACAAGAAACGTCATTTTTACTTTGGCATATATGTTCCCTGCCCTCATATTAACGACCCTGAACACTTTCATAAAGATACGCAATCACTGGTCAAAATCAATACTATCGGGTACATATCAGGTACCTGATATGTGTATAATATATGTGATATATGTGTATGATATTTAACAATACCACACATATCAGGTACCCGATATGTGTAGTAGAAATGTAGAAAATCGGTGACATATACTGTAAACATCATGTATACATCTTACACATATCGGGTAGTTAAATATCGGTGACATATCTTGTAAACATCATGTATATATCTTATACATATCGGGTAGTCAAATATCGGTGACATATCTTGTAAACATCATGTATATATCTTATACATATCGGGTAGTCAAATA